GTAGGAAGGATTAAAAAGAGTAAAAGAAGAAATAATAAATTAGATAAGAAATGTTTCGGTCCATTAAGTCGTATACATTTCTTACCGTTACCACAGTTGGACCTCATCCCTTAGCTGTAAACACAGGCCGTAACCCGTTGTGGATAATGGGTGTGATGGGCCCCTCTCACATACCGATTTTTGGGAGGTTTACGAGCGAATAGGGCGAGTTTGAATTTCTCCTTTATTAGTACTGTCTGAGGGTGCCACTCCGAGTCAAGTCAACCATTGCATTTGTCGGCCCCTGAGCTATTTATATGACAGATTCATAGGTTTCTGTGTATACTGCAGCAGCGACAGATGATAGATACGTTTAATTTTTAACGAATTTTTGCGACTCATCGCAATAGGATTGTTTCTACTCACCGTAGTGACCACTGTGGGACGGCAGCAGCAGCTACCAGTGCCGTTGATGGTTGCTGCAGAGCGCTTTAATACTTTGTGTTCAGGCGCCAGGAAAATGTGGGCTGCCCACGACAAATCCACGTGGAGCGGGCGAAAGGGCTCCGGCATACGCATGTGCTCGTATCAACCGAAGCTGATATGGTGGCATCGTTGCAAGCATCCACTGGACAAATAGGTACTTTCTCTCTCTCTCTTTGCTCAGGCCAGCGATTTTTTGGAGATTATATTGAGTGCGTACCGCAACTGAGTTCGCTGATTTCAGTGTGGAAGCAGCAGCTCGAGCATTCTTCTTCTTCCAGCTCTCCACTAACATTCACAGCTGCCTCAAAGTGTAAGTCATTCTTTGTTACTCTTTTTTCCATTCCTTGGTTAATAGGAAACTTTTTATCTATTTAAGGTTAATTGAAAAATTTAGTTAGAAAATGTACAGATGGATGATGAAAAAGATCAAAAGGAATAAAAAGGAAAGATATAAATAAAAATAATAAATTGAAATAATAAATTAGGTAAGAAATGTATACGACTTAATGGACCGAAACATGCTTTATCTGCCATGCTTTTTCTTCCTTTAAAGTCCTCGCCTGTTTAACCTCTTCTACTCTGAGAACCTCTTTTCCCCTCGTTGGTTTCATTATTTTTGCGCTTTTACAAAGCGGGAAATTTATTCGCTCGCATTGACAAACGCGTGATTAACGCTTTAGCATTGCCTGCTTCTTAATTTCCAAAAAATTTTCATGCATTCAGAACATCGCATATGCGCCATTGATGCACTAGCACTGCCAGCTTTTTCACATTGATTTCTCATCCCCTCTATAATTCCATGATTGTTGCAACGTGCAGTTTTTCATCATGGCGATAGCTGTAGACGAGCACTCAGCCATGTCTACACTGGGTGAATAACCCAAGCGCCGCCATGATTAACATCTTACCGCATTCTCTTTCTTAATTTCCTTTCTTCTCCGTCTAGTTTCGAGTTTTTACCCCTTAGAACATCCAGATCTGATCTGGCTGCTACCAACTGATCTATTGTTCATGAAATTTAGAAACTCAAGCCGTAGAACCAGTTATAAATAATTCGAATGTAAAGAATGCAGACTT